GTTATTGATAAATTTAAACAACACATAAGTAGGGCCAAGAGCCCACAAAAGTTATTGAACATATTAGCAAGAGATATCTAACGGAACGTCTGAAAAAGTTATAGTATGTTATGTGCAACAGGCTTTCATCCAGGACATTCTTGCTTGACGAGTGTTCTTTGTTCGCATGACAACTGGACAAAGGCCACAAATAGCGGTTATCTAGTGGACGTCATATTTTTGACTTCAAGAAGACCTTTGATAGCGTACTACACAGGCCTCCTTTACAAAATATTTGGAAATTAGTTATTTGAGGAATAATTTTTAAATAAAAGTAACAACTTGAACTTCTACCGCGCTTGTGTGGTTGTTTATAATGGTAAATTTACATACGTAATAACAGCGCGAAAATGGAGGTAGGTTGATGTCGAGCTTGACTCGCTTAAATATAATTGCCCTCAAATGTTCGGATATTTTACTCAGTTTGTCTTTTTAAAATTTATGAAACATATAAAATGCTATCTGCGAATTGTGTCACTGCATACTCACTCAGTTGGGGTGAAGAACCAAGTTAGAATCCTAACCTGCATTAATGCAGTAAACTACATTGTATTCTAAGGCTAGCCGTCAAAACTCGGTAAGATTGACGAAGATTTTGTAAACATGCATACTGCCATCTCTATATGCAAATAAAGGGTAATAAACCTGAAAAAAAATGAAAAAGTGTAGTTTTTCATCTTTTTTCATGTTTATGACATGTCAGACACGGATCAGATAAGCATAATAACAATAATATACGCGAATACAGATGGTCATATTTGTTCACGCATATTGTTTTTGAATCTTGATTCGCGATCATCACGCCAAATTGACCCAGCAATTGCGCGCTCACGACGTTGCAACGCGGCAAAATGCAAACATCTGATTGACGAAATTACAAAATCCAGTATGTGACAGACCATGCTTTTCGTGACATATTAACCGTAAAAGTTCATTAATTCAATATTAATCGTTATAATGAAAGTATTGTCTTTCACGTAATTGTCAGCTGTGAATGCGTCAGGAAGAAGGAATCGGGATATCTGTATTTTGGAAATATTCCCAGCATAGTTTCGATCGACACCGTCAAGACAACGAGCCTGTGATGCAGTGGTTGAAGTGTTGGACCTTAACTAGCAAGGTCGCGGTTCCTAACCTTGGAGGTCGCCAACCCTGGGGTTGGCAATAGCTGTCTGGTTGTGGTTAATAAGTTAGAAGTGGCCATTCCAGTCTCCCCTGTTTCTTGGTAATGCATTTCTGTATAATGGGGTACTGACAAAGATAAGGGAGGCCGAAATGGCCATTTCTGGTTAATTTTTTTATCATCAGCTCGTCATAACCAATCGCACCCGGGATATCTAGTTATCGAATCGAACGCCTTCCACTGAGCCATAGGCCCGTGGTCCTGTCCGGACATGCCCATTAGAATACTAACACACCAGACGCGAACAGCCGTTTATCTGTTATTACCGATGAAGGTAGATCTGACGTCCCTCCGCCAAATTGCACATATCTTTTTTAATTGCTGGCCATGCACATGTAGGTTATTCAGAGTCCGTATGAGCTTTTAATTATTGATTAAAATCTCTGAGGCATATTCTCGCATATCGGTCCCACAACTATTGCTTTCTTTAAGGCTTGTGCATTTTGCACGATGTCAATCCAATATCCTATTCCTAGTTTCTCGGGTTCTACTTATATGGTATCATCAGAATCACTTTGTTCTGATATGTTTAACTCGGTGCATCCGATGCACATTTGCGAGTGCCTGTGTTCCACACACGTTTGTTAAACTATGAATGACGTAGTAGACCCGTCCAAATGTAGACTGCGAGTGTTAACAAATCGACCACTTACTGTTTAGTTTCCTGATTTTCCGAAAACTCATTCATACTTCGATTCTTTTCCCACAGCTTCTTTTTTGAGATTAACTGAGATAGAATTCCACTGAGCCGGTGCTAACTTTGTGGCTTTAACTTTTCAGATTCTTCTTCTTTTGTGTAGCCATTGTTGTAAACGTTTACGCTTTCCGGGAAGTTAAAACTACTTCATTTCTGGTTAAATATTTTCAATTTATTCGTCGTACTGAACTTGAACTTATTTGTAAGGTGCCTGTTGTGCTTGGTCGTCACCGACCGTTAGTTAGATCCCACGACTTTTCCCGTCCGCAGAGGTCAGATATGTCCGAATCAGCTAGACCAGAGACTTCTTGTATCCTTTTGATGACATTTATGAGCGCAACGACGTAGAAGAAGTCTTCTAGCCTTCCTAGAACTTTTCAGTATCATCCCATGTTTCCTTGTGTATATTTGTTTTATTTTACTTTTGCAGGTTTCTGTTGAGGAAATGTCCCGATACGTCTCGCCCATAAATCCGGCAATGTATTCCACCCTCACTCTGCTGCTGACCAGCATAGGAGTCTTCTTCACGGCCTGGTTCTTCGTATACGAGATCACGGCAACAAA